CATACATATATACATATAAATACATATATATTATATCTATATTACATATATATCATATATATACACACATAATACATATATGTATATGTGAATACACACACACACACACATATAATTATACACACACACACACACACACACACACACACACACACACACACACACACACACACACACATATATATATATATATATATATATTATATATATATATATATATTATATATATACATACACACCACACACACATACATTTATATGTATGTATAACACGTATACATACATACATACAAACATACACATTTACACACACACACACACACACACACACACACACACACCACACACACACACACACACAACACACACACACACACATGCCACGAGCACACCTCCAGCCCCCCGGTCCCTCCCTCCCGCCGCATGACCGCGAGCGAGAAGGGGAACCGGGGAGGGGCGCGACCACCCCGCCGCCCATCCCGTGATCTGATTATAATAACCAGGAGGAGGCAGGGCGTTTGCTGCTGTCGGACCCACGCATCCTAGCCTCCTACGGGATTCCTTCGGTTCGGCACGTGACTTCCCGTATTCCTTCTCGGGGCCTTTTCTTTTTCTTCTTCTTCTTCTCCTACTCCTCACTCTTTTTTGTTTATGTTCACCGTGTTCTTCTACCTATTCCTTCTCTTTTATATCTACTCCTCACTCCTCCCTCCTCCCTCTCCTTCCTCATTTTCTGTCTATTCCATTCCCTCCCTTCCTCCTTTTTTCTCCTCTCTTCCGTATATCCACTTCCTCTTTTTGTATATCTTCACCGTGTTCTTCCTACTCCTCTTTTATATCTACTCCTCACCTCCTCCTCCCTCCTTCCTCCTTCTCTGTCTATTCCATTCCCTCCTTCCTCCTTTTTTCTCCTCTCTTCTGTCTATCACTTCCCTCCTTTCCCCCTTCTTCCTCTTCTCCTTTGCCTATCAATCCTGACGACCCATATACTTCTCATCAACCACTCCACTCCCTCTCCTCCCCCTCCTCCCTCTCCTCCTATCGCCTTCCCTCTTCCCTCCTCCTTCCCTCCCCCTTCCTCCTCTCCTCCTTTCCCTTCCTCTTCCCTCCTCTCCCTCCCTATCCCCCTCCTCCTCTCCTCCTTTCCCCTTCCTCTTCCCCTCCTCCATCCCCCTCTCCTCCTCCTCCATCCTTCCCCTTTCCCTCCTCTCCCACGCCCTCCTTAATGACGTCATCCACTACCGTTCCTCCTATTGGTGGGACAGAATAACAGAAGGCGTTGATTGGTTGCCAAACTTCTACGCGTCTGTTGGAGCAAAGTTGACTCTAGATAAAACCTGAAGATAAGATGACGAAAAAAAAACCGCTAATGACAAGTAAAACATAATTCAAATGATAAAACGTATTAGCAGATCTTAGGCAATGAGGTGTCGTCTCCTTTTTTTCTTCTTCATTTCTCTGATTCTCTCCTCATTCTTAAGGTCAGATCCTCATCGATAGCAGTTTTACTTCCTTTTACCCACACCTTTAGCATAATCTTTCTGTTGCACAACGGGAGGAGAAAAGAGCTTACTCACTGTACCATTATTGTGGATAGCAACAGCACCTGCATCGGCTGTTGTTGTTGTGGTAGGAATAGTAACAACAACGGTAGTTTAGCAACAAAAAGGCTATATTCTGTTACTGCTCGTTTGATAATTATTGTTATTGCTCATTACTATGTTTCAGGTTATCAGCTATCAATATCACTGCAATTATCATCATGTGTTGCTGTTGGTAGCGAAATATAACAGAGAGAGAGAGGAGTAACATAGACGATTATAACAATAATACTGATTATAACAGCAGGTCGGATAAATATATCTTTACATACATTTT